TGCAGGAGGCAGCCACTTGATGTGTCCCTTTCACGTCGATGTTTCTCTCTCTCTCTCCCCCTCCCTCCTCCCTCCCACCCTCCCTCCCACTCTTTCTGAACAAAAAATGGAAAAATGTCTTCGGGTGAGGATAAAAAAAAAAAGAAGTTAAAAAATGTTAAAGAACTTCTTTACGAAGAAAAAAAGTTAAAAAGATCGAAAATATAAACAATAAAATGGCAATAACTACACACCTATCAATAGTTACTTTAAATGTAAATGAATTAAATGCTCCAACCAAAAGACTTAGGGTGGCCCTGGCCAGTTTGGCTCAGCAATTAGAGTGTCAGCCTGTGCACTGAGGGGTTATGGGTTCATCCGAGCAAGGGCACCTACCTGGGTTGCAGGTTCAATCCCTGGACCCGGTCTGTTAGGGTCTTGCGGGAGGCAACGAATCAATGTGTCTCTCTCTCACATCAATGTTTCTCTCTTTCTCTCTCCCTTCTACGCTCTCTAAAAATCAATGGAAAAATATCCTCAGGTGAGGATTGAAAAAACAACAAAAGACATAGGGTAGTTGAATGTATAATAAAACAAGACCCATACAGACTCACTTCAGATTGAATGACATACACAGACTGAAAGTAAAGGGATGGAAAAAGATATTATATGCAAATATAAATGAGAAAAGCTGGGGTAGCAATACTTGTATCAGACAAAATAGACTTTAAAACAAAGACTGTAACAGGAGATGAAGAAGGACTTAGCAATTCCATGTCTGGGTATTTATCCACAGAAACTCAAAATACTCATTCAAAAAGACATATGCATCCCTATGTTCATTGTAGCACTATTTATAATAGCCAAAATATGAAAGGAACTTAAGTGTCCATCAATAGATGACTGGATATAGAAGAAGTGGTACATACTATATACAATGGACTATTACTCAGCCATAAAAAATAATGAAATTTTGCTATTTGTGACAACATGGATGGACGTAGAGGATATACAGTAAGTGAACTAAGAGAAAGACAAATACCATATGATTTCACTTGTAAGTAAAATCTAAAAAACAAAATAAATGAACAAACACAACTAAAACAAACTTGTAGATACAGAGGACACTGTGATGGTTGCCAGATGGGAAGAGGTTTGGAGGGATGGGTAAAAAATGGCAAATTGCCAGTTACTAAAAACAGTCATGGGCATGTAAAGTACAGCCTAGGAAATGTAGTAAATAACATTGTTATAACTATGTATGGTGTCAGATGGGTACTAGACTTATCAGGGTGATCACTTCATAAGTTATATAATTGTCTAGTTACTATGTTGTCCACATGAAACTAATATAATAAAATAATATGTCAACTGTAATTAAAAATTTATTTTGAAAAAAGTTTTTTAAAAAAAGCACCCTGGCCAGGTGGCTCAGTTGATTGGAGCATTGTCCTGTACAACAAAAATTTGTGGGTTCAACTCCCAGTCAGGACACATACTTAGGTTGCAGGTTTGATCCCTGGTCAGGGTTCATATGGGAGGCAAACAGTCTATGTTTCTCACATTGATGTTTCTCTCTCTCTCCCCGTTCTTCTCTCTCTCTCTAAAAGCAATAAAAACATATCCTCAAATGAGGATTAAAATAAATAAATAAATTAAATAAATAAATAAGCATGTCTTCTCCAAGTATTCCCTTGGAATCCTAGGATGGAACGAGTGGTATACATCGCTAAGCATGCAGTCTTGACATTTCCATTAAATTTTCCTTTTAAATACACTGAGCTCTAAACATGAAACTCTTCAAACTGAGATTTCCAAATGTCTCCCCTTTCCTCAGCACCACTTTGACTTCCCCTTGTAGTTTTCTGTTTCTGTTAGTGACACCACAAATTTCCTAATTCAGAACTCAAAACTTTCATCATCTTTCCATTCTCCTCTCATGCCTTCTATATTCCAATCTGTGATTATTTTTTAATTTAATTCAATTTAATTTTTGTTACAGATGTTTCTCCTTTTTTTCCCCATTGACACCCTCCTCCCCATCCTCCCGCCCCCGTTCTCCCGGCTTTGTTGTCCATGTCCACTGGTTATGCATACATGCATATAAGTTCTGTGGTTCATCTCTTCCCTCCCCCCACCACCCCCTCTTCTGAGGGTTGTCAGTCTGTACCCTACTTCCACGTCTCTGGGTCTACCCCATTCCTCAGACTGTTATGTTCATTATATTCCACAAATAAGTGAGATCATGTGGTATTTGTCTTTTCCTGCTTGGCTTGTTTTGCTTAGGATAATACTTTCTACGTCCCCCCATGTCGTCTCAAAGGGTAAGAGATCTTTCTTTCTTACAGCTGCATAGTACTCCATTGTGTATATGTACCACAACTTTTTTATCCATTCGTCTACTGATGGACACTTGAGCTGTTTCCAGATCTAAGCTATTGTAAATAGTGCTGCTATGAACATGGGGGGTACATATATTCTTTCTGATTGGTGTTTCAGGCTTCTTAGGGTATATTCCTAGAAGTTCCAATCTGTTATTAATGACTGGTGATTTTTCCTTTGCAATACCTTTCCCATCTCTTGCTCTTTTTTTCTTCCTAGTCCACCTGAATCTAGATTCCAGCCTTCATTACTTAAGACTTGGACTGTTATAGCCTCTTAACTAGCCTCCCAGTCACCAATGTCTCTCTTCTCAAATCCATACATGACTGTCTTCTCAAAATGCTGTTTCAATCATTCTCCCACTAGACTGTAACCCACATAATGGCAGGGATTCATTCATCTCTAAGCACTGTATAACCTGGCATATAGGTTTACTTAATCAACATGTGTTGAATGAATTAATGAATACACAAATCACATCATCTTCCTTCTCAAACCTTACATCAACTCCCCACTGTCTACAACAACAGTTACAAACTCAAATATCAAAATACCTACTGGAGGCAGGCAGGAAATGTGAGTAAAGGTGTGTGTAAAACAACAGGAAGTGGTGGAGACTGAGGCAAACTGGAGAATGCATGTCCCAACTAAAGGGGCAGTTGCTTGCTATTTCCATGAATTGCTGCCATGATGAAATACTGGCATAGTATTGCCAAGTCTTCTTATTTTTCAACATAAGGTGAAAGCACAGATTTCTATATAGAATCTTTTTTTTTAAATAGTGACAATTCCATTTAGTTGTTTTCAACAACTAACTACATTTAGGTAAAAACCAACCCCCAAAAATCACTGTACAAGCCAAACAAAACACATCTACGGGTCAAATCCAGCCCTCAGGTTGCAAGTCGGTGACTCTGCTCTGTAGGATAAAAGATAAACACCTGGCCTAACATTCTAAGTTCTTTACTGTGAATTCCCAGGCTACCTTATCAAAGTTTTTTAGTCCACTACTTCCATATAAGAAGCCCCTGCTCTTGGTGTAGTGGTTCTCAAACTTCAGCATGCATCAGAATCACCTGAAGGACTTGTTAAAACATAGCTTGCTGAGCCTGACTGCCAGTATTTACAATATAGGTCTCAAGTGGGGCCTGAGAAGTTACATTTCTGACAAGTTCCCAAGTGCACCACACTTTGGAAACCACTGCTCTAGTTAAATTACTCCTAGACTCAAGCACACACTGAAGTATACTCACATTGTTCTACCTTCCCAGAAAGACTTCCCTCTTCCTTTCAGCCCACCTCCTGTAAACTTTCTTTGACTATGATAAGTCTTTCTTGCCTCTAAATTCCTGTAGCATTTAGAGTGCATGCCATCTCCCCTTTATCTATCACTGCAAGTGTCTTTTATTGTTAACTGTCTGTGTACAGGTGCCAATGAGGTTATGTATTCTCAGAGATCAACGTCGAGGTCTGTACCTTATACACCTGACTATACACCAACTTAAAAGGAGAGGCCTTGTCTTATCCCCCATTGTACTCCTCAAGTTATAAGAGCCTGGCATATAGTTAGTATACAGTAGGTACACTAAACATTTCTTAAATGAATAAACATTTGACAGATCCATGAAATGAAAATGTAGATAAGTGGGCCTGAATTTTGGGTATATAATTTTTCTTAGAGAACTGACTTTTAATCCTACTTGTGACTTGGTGAGGATAGACAACTAATGAAAACTGGATATTTTGCAAATAAACTGCCAATAGGTAACAATCATCTGCAGCAACACATTTTGTATATAAATAAAAGAATGAATGTTTTAAAAACTAATTAAAAAATTTTTAAGAACCACCCTGACTGATTTTTCTCAGTGGTTAGAGCGTCAGCCCATGGACCAAAGGACCGTGGGTTTGCTTCCCTGTAAAGGGCACATACCTGGGTTGCAGGCTCAATCCACAGCCCCGGGTTGGGTCATGCGGGAGACAACCAATCAATGTGTCTCTCTCTCCTTCTCCCTTCCACTAGCTAAAAATCAATGGAAAATATCCTTGGGTGAGGAATAACAAATAAATAAATAATTAATTAAAATTTTAAGAATAGATCTTTGATCTCCAGGATTTCTTACCCCTTCAGGGATGTAAAGTGGTTACATAACAAGTTAATACCCATTTAACAGAATTCTATATTTGCACCATATTCAATTTAAAAAACTAGGATGAAAGAAATGAACTCCCTATGATATTCTGAAATATTGTTCAGTCCCTTCAGATATAGTTTGGATGATAATATATTTATTTGGGATTCCAAAGGCTGTGTGAAACAAAATCAAGTGATTTCAAGGATGATTTTGAGTAGAAAGTTGGTCCCCAAACTACACCAGAATAAAGCCACAGAAGACTTTACAGAGTAAACCGAATTTTGGAACTACTAAAAAAAAATTAGAAATACTATATATTTTGATAAATAGTCCTAAGTTCTTATTTGACTTTTGGAACAACTCTACACTTGATAGTATTACAATCAATGGAGTAAGAGAAAAGTTAACATCATTTGGCAAAGACAGAGAATCCAATTAAGAAACAAAACCCAGGAGCATATGAAGTACATTTATAGTTTTAAGCTATAAGACATGTTACCTTACCTCTGGATATTTGCCCTACCTACCAGGACCATAATGATCATGTCTGCATGAGGATTCAGCCAAGACATTCCACATTTCTATGCTGACCAGGAACTATCCAACTGGGCAAAAAAGAATTACAAAGCAAAGTCAACAAAACACTAAGTGGCTTATTCCAAGTTTTAAAATCATTAGCATTCTAAACAGGGAAACAAAGCAAATTTATTCATCACAATAACCCTGAAACTTCATAGTAACACTTTTCTACCAGAAATTATAGAAGAAAATGCCACCAGATGAACTGTTTTATTATTATTATTTTTAAATCCTCACTCAAGGATATTTTCCCATTTATCTTCAGGTAGAGTGGCTGTGGGGGAAGAAACATTGATGGGAGAGAGACACATGATTGGTTGCCTCCCCAAGGACCCAACCAGGGCCAGGGACTAACCAAAGTGCCCTTGACCTGAATTGACCCCAGGCTCTTTGGTCCAAGGGCTGAGTCTCTAACCACTGAGAAACCTGACCAGGGCCAGATGAACTATTAAACTGCAACTTTCTACTCTACTATTTGTACCATCAGCTATATCTTACTAAGAGGATGACTGAGTAATAACATCCAGTTCTTTGGCAGAAAATGTTGGTGGTCAGAAGACTATATTCTAGAACCATCTCTACTCCACTATGAATCTGGGCATTTCTCTTAGTCATATTCATATCTCAACAGTTCTAACTACAAAATCAAACTTATAGTCACTAAAAATATGTTGTATAATAAAATAACTATAAAGTACATATTACAAGTATAAAGCACTATGCTCATATTAAGACATAATCTTGTTAGTCAAATTTTCATGTTTATAAATGAATCTGTAAACAAGCATAAACAACAAAAGTCTTGGCCTGAATTTCATATTATAAAGTTACAATTTTTAGAATGTATTCCAAATATAGCCTGTGGTAGAAGATGCCCTACCCTTTCTTTTTCTGCAAGTTATCAATAGGATGTACTTTCAGAACCTTTGCCATACATTTTAATAACTTTACAGATTCCATATCAGAGGAAACCCTTTCAATGTATGGTGAGTCCTAAGGACCCAGTGGAGTGTGACATACAAGAGGGGGAAATGCACCCCAAACAAAATAAGCCACGATCTTGCAGTGCTCATTAACAAATCGGCAGTTCCCTCTAACCACATAATTCAGAAACAGAAACTACATAAATGAAACAAAGCAGGTGGGAACAAGCATGAGGTCAAAGGCCTCTGGAAGGGGTGTAGATAATTGCATTCTCCCTAGGGAAATGGAGAGGGAAGATGCACAAGGAAGTTTTTAAAGAAATTTTAAATTCAATTTGAAATGGAGGATGTCGCAGACCTGAGCTTCAATGACAAGTTTCCTATCTATTGTCTTGGCACCAAGAATTCCCTGTCTGCCTTAATGACTCACTCTCATTGAAAGGCTTAGTCATAGAGCTCCTCCTCTGGAAAAGAACAATACTTTCGAGTACTCCTTTTCCTGGGTGTGCTCAGGTTTTAAACAAAAAAACAAACCCAAGAACTTCCGACTTCATGCAACTTTCGGAAAAAGGGGCTGCGGACGCATGAGATATTAGCAAATGGGCATCCGGGCGGGTTCTGGGAGGGCAGTGCCGGCTGTACAGGGCAGAACGGGGCCGAGCTCCCGTCGCCCGACCCAGTGGCAGCACTTGTCTCCTCGCCAGGTTCCCGGACGCCCGCGCTGCTGCCCGGCGGAGGCTACCAGTCCCAGCCCCACCACCGCCTCACCAAAAAAAAAAAAATGTGTGGCCCAAAAAGTCCGCTACATGCGCCACCCCTTACAGAATTAGCAAGAGTTAGCAGCCTGTAGTCGGGGCAGGTTCGGGAGACTGAGGCGGAGCAGGAGTCAGGCGGCCGCGGCCACGCAGGCTGGGCGTCAGGAGAGGGGAGGATGCGACGCTAAGACGCGAAACGCTGCCAAACTGGCGGGGCGGGCGGACCCGCAGGGTAGCAAGACTCCTGAGGCCAGGGCGTCCCGACCTCGCGCCGCCGGAGGCGCCCGGCCCGCAGGAAGTCGCTCTGGGTCTCCGCCCGAACCCGCAGCAGGGTCTGCTCCCTCCGCCGCTCGCACACTCACCGCGCGCGCCGCCCAGGCGCGGCCTCCCGCCGCCCTCGGAGCGATCTCCGCCCCGCCCTCCGCACCCGGCCCCCGGACTGGGCCGCGCGGCGGCGTGGGAGTCACGTCCGAGCGCATGCGCTGTTTGGGCACTTGCAACGGCCCGGGCGGAAAGTTACCAGCTGAGCGTGCTGGTTCCCTTGGAGACAGAATCCGGCCCGGCGGCGGCGGAGAAACCACCAAAACAGCCGCGCCACTGGAGAAGCCAAGATGCCGTCGAAGGGAAAGGACAAAAAGAAAGGCAAGGGCAAAGACAAAGACAAGAAGAAGTAAGGAGAACCCACCCTGGGGTCCTCTGCCCCCGCGCCTACCGTCCCGGGATTCGGGTCTGGGGGCCGCCAGACGCAGGGGTTGGCTCATTGGCTCCCGCCCTCTGACCCTCTTGGAGCCTCCTGGACCTTTCTCTCGCACTCCCCGATTCCGAGGACAGGTCCCGTTGTTCAGAAACTCCCCAAATGCATGCCAAACTACTGCTTCAACTTAGACAGTAGGGTGAGATTTGGGACCCTGAAGTCATTTAGACACAGCCTCTACCTATGTATAACGCACTAACGATGGAGGCAGATAAGTTCCCAAAGAATAGAAGTAACACAGGACCGAATGAAATAGGTGCTAGTGGAGGAACAAAGAACGGAGAATGAGGAGGAAGAGTTCTGACACTGAAAGTGAAGGTCAGGATAACATTTATTGGGATATTGGAGGTCTTCTAGACCAGCGCTGACCAAAAGGGTAGTCAACTGTAGCTAAATTAAAATTAAATAAAAAACTCAGATCCTCAGTTGTACTAGACATATTTTATATGCTCAATGGGCACATGTTGACAGTGGTAACTATATTGGACAGCCCAGATACAGAACATTTTCATTACAAAAAGTTGTATTGGACACCAGTGCTCTAGACACTTAGTGGTTCTTAACCCAGGGCAGTTTTGCTTCCCAGGGGACATTTGGCACTATCTGGAGACATTTTGGTTGTCACATCTGGAATGTGTGTGGCATCTAGTGAGTAGAGACCAAGGATGCTGTTTAACATCCTACAATGCAAAGGACAACCCCTTCACCCCTCACCCCAAAGAATCATTTAGCTCAGAATGTCAGCAGTGCCAGGAGTGGGAAATCCTGCTCAAGAATAAGCTTCTCTAGACTAGGCACTAAGCATTATTCATCATATCTCCAGCACCTAGCAGAGATCCTGGCTAGCAGATGCTTGATATTTGTTCAGTAAATTAAGGTGTCTACCTGTGTATACTTCAACTTAGATGTTTATTCCACAAGAACTGTGCTCTGGGTTCATTCTTTGTTGATCCTAGTCTGAGAGATCTCTGCTATGTGGTTGAGATGATCTTGAACATCTAAAGGATCTCTGGATGATTGAAGTAGTTCTTTGGGCCTTTTAGGGATTCCTTTTGGTTCAAAAGGAAGTGTAAAATATTTGACCAAATTGGGTAATTGTTCAGACTTTCCCAAAATGATCAGAACTAACTCTAGTATTGACCCTTTCCAGGCTTGGAGTTGCTGCCAGATTGTCACTAACCTATTGGGTGACCCTGGTAGTCCTAGACACATTGGAGTCATACATGGTGTCCGACAATACTATATATAGGACTACAAGGATATCCCCAAATTCGTAAAGTCTGTGAAGTAACTCGTTTAAGAGAGTAATAAATGCTCAATACAGAAAGTTTGGGAAACATGGAAAGTCAAAGGAGAAAACAAAAATCACCTGTAATTAATCATCCAAACATAACCATTACTATCATTTTGGGATATTCTTTTTATCTTTATAAAATGATAGCCCAGCCCTGGCCGGTTTGGCTCAGCGGTTAGAGCGTCGGCCTGCGGTCCTGAGAGACCCAGGTTCGGTTCCCGCTAAGGGCGCGTACCTCGGTTGCAGTTTGTCCCCGGCCCTGGTCGGTTGTGCGGGTGGCAGCCACTCGATGTGTTCCTTTCACATCGATGTTTCTCTCTCTCTCTCTCTGTTCCTCTCTCTCCCTCCCACTCTACCTGAACAAAAAATGGAAAAATGTCCTCGGGTGAGGATAAAAAAATAAAATAAAATAAAAATAAAATAAAATAAAATGATAGCCCATCCCTGGCCGGTTTGACTCAGCAGTTAGAGGGTTGGCCCATGGACCAAAGAGTTGTGGGTTCAGTTCTGGTCAAGTGCACATACCTGGGTTGCAATTCGGTCCCCGGCCCTGGTTGGGGTCATGCAGGAAGCAACTAAACGATGTATCTCTCTCGCATTGGTGTTTCTCTTTCTCTCTCCCTCCCACTCTATCTGAAAAAATCAATGGAAATATCCTCAGGTGAGTATAAAAAAAAAGGTAGCCCAATGTATATACTTACTTGTAGCTTTTCCCCATGTATTAATATAAGTATTCTACAGTGTGAATTTTTTTTTGCATAACTGCACAGTTCAGCACTTTTATTTATGTATGTATTTATTTTAAATCCTCACCTGAAGATACTTTTTTCCATTAATTTTTCAGATAGAGTGGGAGGAAGAGGAGAGAGAGAGACAGAGACAGACAGCAATGTGAGAGAGATACATTGATTGGTTGCCTCTCACACGACCCCAGCCAGGGTCGGGGACAAACTGCAACTGTGCGAGCCCACAACTCTTTGGTCCATGGGCCGTCGCTCTACCGCTGAACCAAACCAGCCAGGGCTAGTCAAGCATTTTTAAAAAGTGCCAAGGGCTTATCACATTCCTGAAACTCACTAGCATATGTTTTCTATTTTTGACCAGGCATCTACAGTACACATGTCAATGAGGAACATTGACCCTTGGCCAGGTGGCTCAGTTGGTTGGAGCATCGTCCCATACATGAAAAAGGTTATGGGTTTGATTCCTGGTCAGGACACATACCTAGGTTTTGGGTTCGATCCCCAGTCAGAGCACATATGGGAGGCAACCAATTAATGTTTCTCTCTCACATCAATGTTTCTCTCTATCTCTCCCTCCCTTCCTCTCTCTAAAATCAATAATCATATCCTCAAGTGAGGAAAAAAAAAGAGAAACATCAAGGGTACCAGACCTTTTATTCTTTGGATTTTTCCATGACTCATAGTTTGAGAAATCCTTCTTTGTTTCTATAGTCAGTATCAGTGGTCCTCCTATGAGAAATCCTATCTGATATCTTTCATCAACTCTGAGCAGTTTAGACTTGATAACCTCCAAGGAGCAGTTGGATGACTGTAACAAGGCAGTCTATCACTACTGCCTAAATCGTGCTGGAAAGGGAGTTCAACAGCTATAACAGGCTAGTGGTTGGGGATGAGGCTGGTCATAATTTGTAGAGAACAAAAGTGAGAGTGGGACTGAAAAAGGATCAAGAACCGAGTTGATGGGGATGGAGGGTGACAGTATAGAAATGTCCACACATACTTATATGTGAAAATATTTAGAATTCAAATACAAATGAAGTCTTCTTTGTTATTATCTAAATATATTACCAGTGTCTACCATATATAATGGATAGTGTTTTGTTAATGCTCATACAATAAATCTTTATTTTGAAAACACCTCCCCTTTTGTCACTTTAATCTTTGAAGACTTTTGTTGTTGTTATTTCTCACCAAAGGATAATTTTCCAATGATTTTTAGAAAGAGTGGGGTAGGGGGTAGAGAGAGAGAAGAAACATCAATGTGAGAGAGACACATTGATTGGTTGCCTCCTGCATGCACCCAGATTGGGCCCGGGAATTGAACCTGTAACCTAGGTACATGCCCTTGACTGGGAATTGAACCCAAGACCCTTCTGTTCAAGGGTCGATGCTCTAACCACTGAGCAATGCCAGCCAGGGCTGAAATTATTATTCTTTATTATTATTTTGAAATTTCCTCTCCATCTCTGTGTAAATGATTATGGTTTGTTTCCCAGCTATCCTTGAAGCCTGGTGCATTGTGGAACTAGCAGATAAAGTATTTAACATACTTGCCCTAGTGACCTGATCTTTTGTCCAAGGCCTAGCCAAAAAACAAACAGACATACAAACCACAACAACCTAAAACAAGAAGAAAAATGGTGTTGGGACAGGTGGAAGATTACAGAACTACGGACTTAAAGTTACATTTACACTTTGTATCATCAGGGTGAAGAGGAACTAAAGTAATGGATTTGCAGAGAGAGCCAAGGTCTAAGACTGAGCAAGTAGCAGTAGAAAAGACAGTTCTAATATAAGAGAAAGAAGTAATTGAAAAGCTGTGAAAACTTTATGAAATGAATTTAACTTATTATGCCTTTCCTCTTTTTTTCCCCAGTCGTTTAGAGTTATGCTTCAAAGCTTCCCTCTTCCAGGAAGAGGTACCTATTAATATAACTAACTTATCAAGTAAATATGAATTTCTTATTAACAAATTTATCCAAAATATTTGCTCATATGTACCAGGAAATACCAAACAAAATAATAATGGAGAGAGGTAATACTGCTATAGTGATATGCTGTCAATGTCCTCTTCCCATGTAGGAAGACAGTGAAAACTGAAGAAACTGCAGTGGAAAGAGCCAAGGCCAGTGCCGCCCTTTGGGAGGCCAGGCTGGAACTCACAGAACTCTCTAGGAGTGAGTATCGTGATACTTCCCGGAGACTTGCAAAAACTAATGAGGACTTAAAGAAACAGCAGTATAAAATGGAGAAAGATACAATGTCTGTATTAAGCTACCTGAAGAACCAGGATCAGGAGAAAGATAATATGGTAGGTAGGTAGAAACCCTCCCGAGCCTCAGTAACTACCTCTGTGTTATACTTGTGTGGTTATATATTTCAATCACATAATTAAGACATTTCAGTGACTAACTCTCCTTGAAGAGGATGCTATTTCAGAATGGCTTTACTGTCATAACTGGGTCTTTCTATTTTTAGTTCTTGTCCCATGTTTTCTTGTCTAAACAGATTGATGAGCATAATGGAATATTATGCTCCATTTTAAAGACAAAAGCATGTTATATGTCCTATATATTTTAGATATTGATAAATACTTAGTTTTAATG